AAACTTCCCATTGCGATCGCCAACAAAAGCTTTGTCAGATCATCGAATGACTTTGTGTAGCTTGTCATAGGAAAGTTGGAGTGGTCGACACAGAGCGTGCCTTTAAGCAAAAAATGACAGGCTTGTAGCCTGGACGGACGACGAATTCGCGACCCTCGAGGAGGCCTAGGAAGCGCCGGATGGCTGAGGAGACAGTGAGGGGTTCATGGACAAAGACACTTTAGCGAATCTTTGCTGGAGTACGCTCCTTCAAAATGGAAGTCAGAGGCTATGGAACACCGTCAACGGTTTGTTGGACGGATGTATCAACGACGCTGCTGGGAGCATCCCTCATGCGAGTTAAGGGAGTATATATGTAGGAATATGCTAAGTGGGTTGCTTTCGCATAGACATTATGGACGTCCTTGAAGCAATTGACGGTCTCCTTGGTCATCACCAACATCTTCTATGGATGATCCAAGCAGTTTTTAAATGTCTGCAGGATGGTTACACTGTGGGAGAGAAGAATGTGGTGGTATTTAACCAGACCCAAGAAGCGCTAAATTGATTGACGGCAGAAAGGACTAAAAGTTGACTATTGTATAAACCTTTTCAGGGATGGCATTTATCACATTGGAATCTATTACGTGACAGAAGAATACTAAGGTACGGGGCTTAGAGCTCCTATGTATTATAACGCCGGAGGAGCGGAGCCGTTTGAACAGTTGTCGAACGTTGGTCCCGTTTTAAGTAGCGTCCGAACTCGCCACTTGTAAATCATCAACGTAAGCATAGACTAGGTCGAGACTTCGCAACACTTTATCGATGAACCACTGCAATGTTTGAGTGGCATTCCTCAAACTGAGGCATTGAAGTGAATTTGAATAACTGAAAGTGAGTGGTGACTTCGTTTTTTGGTACACAGCTCTCCTTAATTGGAATTTTCTGGTAAATTCTAGCAAGACTAATCTTAGAGAATACGCGCTCACCATGTAGCGAATCAGTGAAGTCGTGAATATATGGGGCGGGATAGTGATCAGAGATAGAAACTGAGTTGAATGACCGGTACTCGCCACACGGTGGCTATCCGCCAACCATTTTCTTCGGTAAAACATGGAGGGGTGATACCCAACACCTGTCGGACGGTAGTCAGTCCTGTCTAATACGGACGCGACCCACCCTATCTCAGCTGACAGGATAAAGATGTTTTCCCAGTCTTCTTATACATCTTATCCGAAGCTGGAAAGAAAGCTGTATGGTTAATATACCATAAGTAGTCAGGAGACCCGGTGTCATATGGGACTGTCGTACTGGCTTAACTTAAGATTGACAGTACTGGAGTGACTGCGTTGACAGTATTGGTGTCGTGTGTGCTGGAGAGGTCTTTGAGTGATAGAAACTATATCCATTACTCTATGGCCTCTACGATTGTAAGTTGCACAATGTTTTACCCTCTTGGATTCGTAGGAGATGAAGCAATTGGGACATTTACGTGAAAGGTCGGTCGAATGGTGTCAAAAAGGCATTCGAATTAAGATTTTTGTCCAGTGGCCCCTTGTACTTCGTTCAATATGCTGGTTCTAATGCGTCCTGTTGTGTTGATAAATAGTTTGCCCGCTCGCAGTACGCCTAGGTATAAAACATCGCGTTCAGTCTAACCCTTTTCAGTGTCATTCACTTTGCATTTTTACCGAAACATGCCTGCAGCAAAATAACACTACTTTCGTTCTGTTATTTAAAGGTACTGGAAGGTCGCAACCACTTTTACAAACCACAGTAAGTCCCCAGTTGCTTTTTTGAACTCTTATTCTCCTTTGCAATTAAAAAAACCAAAATTCGGGGTGGCTCTGTCGACCTTTCATTGGTTACGCGACAATTTCGAACGCCTTTTGCGCAGTTTCCAAACTTGAATTTTGCCACAACAGCGACCCTTTCTTTGAGTTTAGTTGGTCGAACTGCAGTTAGGACCATGCTTTTCATTTTATGTTCCTACCACTGATTTGCGCTTTCAGAAATTCTCAGTAATAATCCACATTGGTGACTTCAAGGAACAAACTCAAAGTTAAAAGGCAAGTTTTTATTCCTGGTAAGTGATCATGGCTGCCGCTTTCTATGTACTTGTTTAACTATATCATAATCCACATCAAGAACAAACTTTAAGAATGCGCTAATTTTATTGACCAAGCAAAATTCTGAGTTATCGTCACAGACTTTCTATCGAATCGTTTTTATCAGCAACTAACACTGTTTGAAATAAACCCGAATTTGTGAATCGATCACATTATAAATTTTCTGTAAATGTTCTGTATCATTTTAGCCTTATTACCGAGAGTAAATCCAGTACTCGGAGATTGAAAATATACGTCTGTTTAAGGCATAATATTTCTCCAGTAGCCATTCTGAATTTCGATTATGGTCTAGCTAACAGCCATGTTCACACTGCTGACCTTTTAGAATTATCTGCGCTGCTGTGAAGATTCATGATTTGTGAAACATAAGAAGGATACGAAATTATCCTGGAACAAATAGTGCTCGATCAAATTAGGTGTTCTTTTTTGCGTATGACGTTTTGTTGTAAATCTATTTGGAAGTAAAGGTTTTTTGTAAACGGTCTTGATAAGCATTCGCCTTGTACTTCAAACTCGTCGAAAATGGCAGTAGCATAAAAAACAGAACGTTGTCTACGTGGACAAATAGGATTATCTTGGCCTTCTATGCCAAAGTGGACTTTCATTTATTAACACGATGGACCACAGATGTTTTCCAATTTATTCTCCCACGAGTTTATTTCTCAACCACAAATCAGCGAATTATCTACTCTATAATACTTTTGTCTGCTTACTTTAAGGGTTGGCATAAATGCAATGCTTCCCAAAACAAATGACGTCCTCCTCAACCAGGCCGAAGATGGCGATCCAGAGAGTCTGCTCCAGATGCCTGCACACAAAGTGTTCTATAGCCAACACTTAAGCGCCGCCGAAACCCTTAACAGGACACTTGATCAAATGGTGCGTTCATATCCCTGGAATTACGACTTCTATAGCATTTATATGGACCAGGTAACAACATGCCTTTCGGTGGATAGTGTTAATGGGAAAACTGATATGGGAGCGCGATGACATTTTTCCTTGTTCTCTGACAGTCGTTAGAAATGTTTTATGGTCGATTTGAAAAATTATATTCCGAGAGAGGGTTTCTACGGTACACTTAAAAATCCACATGCGCATGAACAGTCAGTCGTTTGTATTCTGTCAAATTTAACACAAGGGCTCGCACACCCATGTTTTTCAGGCATATATACCAAAATTAAGTTGTTGCACAAGTTCAAAAAGGTACTCGCTTTTCGAAAGTCACACTCCTACGCTAAGAGGACTTTCAAAACAGGTAGAATGAGGTGCATTTCCAGAAGGATTCTCTGAGGGATATTGCTTGAGAATTATATTCTACCGCATAATGGCTGTAACACATCATAAAACACAACGCCTTTTTCCGGACTATACGTTGGCTTGATGTGTTGAACATCAAACTGTCATTTCCTAGACAAGCCATATTTTCCACGCACAGGTATATATATGCTGAAGATGTAGTCATCGATTAGATTGCGGGCCAACCACGTCCTGATATGATTTTGAGCTTAACTTAGAGGTTCGCAGGCATTCACATGGCGACTAACATCGCATACGGATAAGGAATTTACCAACAAAGGCGAGGGAGACCGAGCTAGCCAGTTCTGGCCTATTAACCATCTTTAGCCGGTCGAATGGTAGGGCGTTGCGTTTGTTGACGCTCAATACCAAATTAGTGGGGCTCTTACCTCAGGTCAGATGTTGGGTATGACTGGCTGATGACAGCTTGTAAGCCAAAAATAGTCATCCCGATCTCTATTGTCTCTGTCAATAACTCTCATATCTGCATATTTATAGTCAGCGACCTTTCTCGTGAAATGTTAACCTAAAATCTGAAATTCGCCTGTTAAGAAAAATAGCTTATCTGGGTTGCACTATTGGTTACCAAACCGAATAACCCGAGACTATTATCATCATGCTCAGATGGCTGTTTTTAAACCCAGTTTTTTGGTTGCCTGAAAAAAGGGCACACTTCAAAAAATTTTCATTTAAGTAGTGGGTAGTTTCAAATTTGTTTTTAATGTCCCTATAAATTCAAATATGTTTCATAAAAAGGATACTGCGGCATATACTTCCCTATACATGCTCGACAGAAAATAATTTGTTCTTCAAATATATATACAACTAAAGAGAATATCTAGGTGTTTACAAAATTTCCATTTAACGAATACTTTTAAGGCTGATCTACAACTGATCCTTCGTCGCAAACCATACATGCCTCTATTTTTTATGAAGATGCTAAATCGGAGTCATAGAGACGTTCAGTGGCTATGAACCATATTAAGAACTTCATAAAGGACATCAATAAACGGATAGTTCTAATGCCATTGAAATGCGCATTTCACGGTCTTTACAATAAAATAATCCCAAGCTATTATGATCTTAATACACTCTTTACTTGATGACTACATATATATGCACCGAAGGAGACGGAGAAAATGGGGGTCGGGCTCACGGAACATATCATATTGGTATTAACGCTTAGAAAACTTCCTTGTTTCCATAATCAGTTTAGGGCCGTGGCAGTTTCTTTTGGCCTCTACTTCTTTGACCTCGCCTCGAATTGCGTTCGCGCCTGATGCGAAACCCGTGGCTTGCCCGATTGCTTTTCTTAGCTTTCGCCCCCTCATTGTGGCCACTTGTGAACTCGTGGGATGATTGTCCCCTTCGTGCCTTCGTTGTTGCGACGGGGTCGATGTACGTATTTATATTTTTATTCATCCAGCTGACTGAGAAGTTATCGCTGCGCCTGCAAATTGACCTCGATCTTTGATGGGGGGACAGGCGTTTCGTGTCGGTCGCTTGACCTCTGGCTGTCTCCCTCTGTGAGTTTAACAAATTGACCAGCCAAAATTTGCTCGTGTGTTGTCGGCCTCGTCCAGACTGATTTTAGACTTGTGTGTCGGTGATGATAGTCCGACCATCGATTGCGACGAAGTCCACCATGTGCTCTAAGGGAGGGTGACTGTAGACAGGGATTAGATTTAAGTGAATGTAGACGCGCAAATGTGTACCGCACTATTTATTTGCACCAGCATGGGCCGCTGACAAGACATGGTCGAGATGACTGAGCGGTATTCAGCGTTGGCCGCCTTCTCCAATGAGATCAGAGCACTGCGTGACTTAGTTTTAAGTGACAGTAGACTTTTGCGCCGATACTACCGCACTACCTGCCCGCACTCAACTTTGGCCATTGTCAAAACAGACAAATGAGAACTTAGAGTGATACTGCTATTATTATTAACTAGCAATGCAGTTGAATGATAGTAGTATTGATACTACTACTACTACCAATTCTACTAATACCTAATCGCGATGTAACTGAATGGTAGTAGTACTGATACTATTAACTACGCTAATATTGGTCAAAGCCCTGGGGCTCAGTTCCTCACGACCTCAACTAGGAGTGTTAATCTGCATTCATGTTATTCTTAATAAATACATACTTGAGGCCCGAAGCACATCCTGCCTTGCCTTGATTCCCGCCCTCTTGCCTTTGCCCACCAAAGGCTGTGTCAGAGTCTACTAAGTTTGGACTAAAAGGACTATGAAACTGCTGCTATAAGTAATATACCACTGCTAACAATGCTACTTCTAGTCATCATACTTACTAAGACCAGTAGATAGTATATTCTGGTACGGCCTATAAGTTTATGTGTTAAATCAGCAACTAGTATGCAGTCCCACACTATATGTTTAATAGTAAGCTTATGCGTTAGCGAAACGTTACTTAATGATAACTGAAGTTCTAACATTTCTTTATCTCGCGAGATAGTAACTCTTGCTATTTTCAGGTTAACTATAGACTTAAAACAGTAACTAGCTCTAGCTTGAAATTTGCAGAACGTCTCCTGTTTAAATAAGGACGCAACTTGCTCCAGAATAAACTAAACACGGAAACTTAGTATTTCCTATAACTTTATCAATAGCTTAAATGCACTCGGTTTTTGCAATAAGCATAACAGGTGGGAATGTGACCTTACCAGCTTCGTTGTCCTCATATGGGCTGATTTTTAAGACACCTAGGCGAGGGGTCTCGTCCAGTAGGTAAAACTTGTATGTAGTGTTCAGTCCGCAGGAGGCAGGTATATGACTCAGTAAAATGTGCCAGTCAGAAGCCGACCTTTGGGCACTGGTCTGTGCATCTCAGTGGCTCACTTAATGGGGTTTGACATTCCAAGGGCAAAACTGCGTTTCCTTTTAATACGGTCATATATCATACAGAATTTATCCTCGACAGGTATTGCAAGCTGACGCCGTGGACAGTTGACAGCTGTTATTTTTTACAAGTGTCGGTAGCTGCTCTTTGGGTTTCAGAATTTTCTGTCTAATAGTGGATTCTGTTTTGTGGGTCACAATAACTGAAAAAAATACAGGATTCTTGCTTTCGCGCCTGAAATGATTTTCGAATGCCGGATCGCGAGCAAGAACTTCGGTGTAAAGTACCTTACGTGTTAAGAACCTCAGGTCACTACGGTCTTCGGATGGATTATGCAAGTGTTTCACCTCTTTTTGTCCCGTCTGCACCGCCGCAATGAATTTAAATCCGCGCGAATAGAATTCTGACATATTTGCTTTTGTGTACTTATCTTCTGGCTTGCCATAATTGCAACTTATACATATAGGAGAATTAACTGGTTGTTGCTTTCTCCTTCCGTAGAAAATTGGATTTCGTAAGGTTGAGTTGAGCAGTGCTAATAAACCCGAAGATGCGCGTCCAAGGCCATATGTAAGAAGAAAAGGTGAACCCGTGAGCTATATGCTACCCTTCCTGTAGCCATTTAAGACCTCCGGATGCAATCAGATGTAGCAATAAGCAGGAGTGAACACATGCAAGTGTTGAATCCAGAAACAAGTGAATCCACTTCACGTACGTATGTAAACGCGCCTCAAACCAAATCAACAGAAGATGTGATTCTCTATATTATATCAGCATCCACTACGCAGGTGGGTGATCTTAAAAACAATCAGGAGGTGCAGACAGCTTCAATGGCCAAAAGGTAAACAATTTACGTCAGCACATATGCGGGACACATATCTAAGGCGCAAACAATGGCCCCCGACGGAAGACGTGAGGACTGTTGTTATCCTCTAGCACCCTCCTCTTCTATGCCGGGATTTCGCTGATGACCTTGGCTGCTACCTTCACTTAAACGTAAAAAGTGGTAGCGAGCTCACCTCCGAAACTGAAAGTTCGTTCATATCTGAAGCCCCGGGACAATAAAACCAGGATTTCAAGGACCATTTATTCTTCTGATACATATCCATAAATTTTGCATTTTATTATATTTTACAGGTGCTCATCCTTCAAAGTATATGACATAAACTGTTGGCTATATTGTGGCCATTTTGTTACTAGAGAGAACCGAGTCTTCTAGGCATTTGCAATTAGAATAAGAACATAGCAAAATTGTAGTGTTCAACAAGTGCGAGTTGATACATTGCTATCTTCTATGGCTACCAAATGCATATGGGTATTTTTCTATGTTTTGAGATGGTTATTTTCTCTGTTCCTTTATAGATAAAGTGTGCTTCCGCCTCAACAACTGCTGGTAACTCTTGCCTGGGTAAAGGACTCAGACATAATTTCATTTACTCGGAATCGGAGGTAAGCATCACGACGCTCAAAATTATAAAAGCTTACACTACTGTGCCTTCGATAATCTAGAAGATATTTGTCATAAATTTGCAAATATAGACTGCCGAGAAAATTCCGACAGCCAGTGGGCAGGTTTTCCAGGCGCAAATGAAGGAGGGGTTTGTGATTTTTATAAAACAATTAGAAAATACCAGGTTTAAATATTAGATAATATCATTTCAATTTCCAAATGTACACCAGTAGATTTGCGAGACAATGCAATGTTCAGCAATGATCTTTGCAATATTACTTTGTGTTCTAAAATTCGTTTTTACGCTTTTGTAGTTTATCCAAACCGATCACCAAAACTTAATGCATGAACATTCGCAAAAAGCGCAACTTAAGCATACTATAGACGTTGATTTTTCGCTGTGTACACCTTACCAACTATTCAAGTTACTTGTAGTTCCGTTTGGTAGTTCATTCTTATATATATGTTATAGATGTGGCGGTCTTTATAACATAACTAAGAATGAATGAATGCAGGTGTTTCACCGATCTAGTCAAGGAACAATTAAGTTC